TTCACGGTCAGGGCGGCTAGGGTCTGGAACCAACTTCCAAGAGAGGTGGTGCAGGCTCCTACCCTGGGGGTTTTTAAGAGGAGGTTAGATGAACACCTTGCTGGGGTCGTTTGACCCCAGTACTCTTTCCTGCCATGGCAGGGGGTCGGACTAGATGATCTGCTCAGGTCCCTTCCAACCCTAGAAACTATGAAACTATCTCCCAGCAGCAGCTCCACAGTTGTGGAGCCAGCACTGGGAGCTCCCTGCTGACAGAAGCTGGGGAGCTTGTTCCCTGCCCAGCTCCGCAAGCGTGGAGCTGGAGGGGAAACAAGCTCCCCAGCCTGTTCCTTTCCTCCCCCACCCCACCACACACTGTGCTCACGGAGCTGGGTGGGGAACAAGCTCCCTAACCCCCACTCTGCAATTGCAATTATGATTGCAGAGCAGAGGCTGGGAGCTCTCTGCATGGGTACAGTTCCCCACCCAGCCCAGAGCTGCCTGGGACCTGCCCTTTACTGGGATAGTTCCCAGCCAGAGCCAGTCTGCATGGGGACCTGGAGGTGGCCGGGGACTGTACTGTTTTGGGCAGCCCAACCAGCTCTGGGCTGCACATGCAGACTCCCCTGCACAGCCTGGGGCTGGCTGGGAGCTGTTGTGGTCAGGGGAAGGTCCTAGCTCTGTGCCCCAATCAGGTAATCAAGGCATGGGGCTTAGAAAGAGCTGCAGGGAAGAGGCAGGTCCCAGCCCCCTGTCCCAATCTGCTAGTGGGGTAGCTAGCAGAGAACTAGCTGCCCCACTAACAGATCAGGGCAGGGAGCTGGGACCTGCCCCTCCCCTCAAGCTCTTTCCAAGCCCTATGTCCCGGATTGGGGAGCCAGGGCCAGCAGCTCCCTGCTGCCATGGCAGGGGGACATTGTCCCTGCCTCAGAAGCAGACAGCCCCCTGGGCCAGGAGATAGCTGTCTCCTGGCCAGGTGCTTCCTGCCAGCCTCTGGGCTAGCACCCACGGGGAGCCTGAAGCTCATGCCCAGGGGCGGCAGAGGCACATTGCAGGGAACTGGGAGCAAATCTGATCCCTAATCTTGTATGTGTAGACACTTACCCAAAAACCCTTACTGTGCAGTAATTTCCTTCACAGTAGATCTAGGCTGGAGTAAATGTATGTGTAGACATGCCCAGAGAATCATAGAAAATTAGGGCTGGAAGGGACCTCAGGAGGTGATTCTAGTCCAAACCCCTGCTCAAAGCAAGACCAGCCCCAACTAAATCATCCCACCCAGGGATTTGTTAAGCCAGGCCTTAAAAACCTCCAAGGATAGAGATTCTACCACCTCTCTAGGTAACTTGTTCCAGGGCTTCATCACCCTCCTGGTGAGAGTTTTTCCTAATATCCAAACTAAATCTCCCTTCCTGCAACTTGAGACCATTACTCCTTATTCTGTCATCTGTCACCACTGAGAACAACTGAGTTTTGTGGCCCTGATTGTGAGTGGTGGGCAGGGAAGGATTTGCAAGGCATGCTATTTAATATCAAAATAAAAGTATGTTGTTATTTTCATACACAATATTGCTTCTGTTTTTTTCTTTTCATGGGTGGGTGAGCCAGCTGGTGGGGATCAGCCTTTCTGGTGAGGGAGATAAGGTGGGGTTTGCCCAGAGCAAGATCAAGCCCCCAGCCCAGTCTGGTAATTTCCCCCCACTGAAAAGCAGAGGTGGTATATTTAGATCCTGGCTCACTGCAGTTCTCTCACCCCAGGGTCCAGGACACGAGGGCTTCCCCCCCCCACCACTGAGACAGTCGCCAGCATAGCCCCTGCTGCCCCTCCTTGGGGGCCAGATATGGATGTTCCCCCAGAGTCAGACCAAGCCCAGAGCCCGTATGTCTGCGTGCATATCTGTGGGTGTGTTCATCGGTGAAAATACAAACAATAGTGCTGTAAACAAAGACAAAAACACTTTTTTGTTTAGATATTGAAAACAGTGAATGGTGTAAAAAATACAGTTTGAGCCAGGAATGAGTCCCTGTTGTTCCCTGATTTACACAAGGGTCCAGCACCCCCTGCTGTCTGTACTGCAGAACTGCAGAAATGAAGGAAAACCTCTCTGATGGTCAATGATCGTCTATTATTCTTTTTTTAATTGAAATTTGATTTGAACAGTATGATACTAATTGGTTAATATGGTTTAGAAAATGGTGAGCATATCTACAAATGGGTGTCTGTCCACACAGACAGGAGAAAAACTGCTGACTGAAACAACTCTACCCTTGACAGAGAACCTGGAGCCAGAGTAATTATTTTTGTAGCCTTATAGAGAGCCCAGTTGGGCTGAACTTTTCTGTGCTTAGCCCAAGCTCACAGAAGGTTCTACCCTTCCCATGTCTACCTTCCAAGGTGACTGACACATGCTGATCTAGCCCCTTTTTTAACAGAGGCCTTTTTGCCATCCTCTTTAGCAAGGAACATGGCTTTCTTCCTGGGATCTTTTGCAGCAGCAGGATGTAGGCTGCCATGGTGCCCCTGCTTTAACTGTGGCAGGTTAGGGTGTTATGTCATGTGTTGTGTCAGGGTCAGCTGTGTAGTTTTGCTAAGAAGTTATAATATGTATTTGTATAGGATGGCTTGGATAGGGATGATCCTATTTTAGGCAGGGAGTTGGACAAATGACCTCTGGAGATCCTTTCCAGTCCTGTTTCTCTATGATACTATGAAATCATAATTGAAAAACACAGTTTAAGCTTAGCTGCAACATAGTTCTAGCTAACAATGATTTCAAAGGTGATTTGGAAAAGGGGTACAAAGGGTTTTCAAAGACCATGTTTGTGGATAGAGATGGACATACACGAGGAACCTACCTACAGTGTCTTGTAGGGCAGATCCTATGAATGAAGCTTCTTGTCTTGTGTCCACAAAGCTCATAATGGACCAAGGGGAAGCTGTAGGGTCTTTCAATGTCCAGCCACAGGGATCCTGTTCAAAAGAACAGTGTGCTCCCTTGGGAAGACTGCCTGTGGGAAGAATTGGAAAAGGCTGGGAAACAGCAGAAATCCAAGCAGGGAAGAAAACTGTAAATTCAGTTACATTTTTTTAAATCATGGGAACTAGAGAGGTTATGCCAAGAGAAGCTACAATGGCTTATTAGTTCCTTTCCATGTTGTCACAACAAAAAACTGTAGTGGTCTTGGAGATCACATCTATTGTTATCAGAGATCCTGCATATATTTCTTATGCTAACTACACCAGAAAACTGTGGTAGCTAAGATTCCATAGTATAGCAAAGATTGTCAACTATTTTAAATAGTGATTACTGTATGTTACATCCGTCAATTGCTTGGGAGTCCCATAGACTACTTTAGTTGCTAGCTAATTTAGAAGTAATTTAAATTACATTATTTCATGTGGTGCACAGTAACCCTGTGAAATTCCCTATGATAGTAGGGGCCTCCAAAACTACACCTGTATTTTACAAAGACAATTTTATGACCAGTAATATTGTGCTGATGCTAAAATAAGGGTGCTCATTGCTGCCAGCTGATTGGGACTTGAGTCTGGAAGGAACACAACCCTCCCACTGCATGGATGTAGAAAGGAAGGCTTTCCCTTCCACTGAAATAGCAGGAACTGCTATGGGCAGGCTGCCAAGCTTCACATACCAATAGTCTGGGCCAGTGACTAAAATCTTGTATCCCTAATCCTAAAAGTGCATTATCTATGGATATTCCAAGTCCTGATGTTCAGTTAAATGAAGATACATTAAATTAATTACACAGGCAAAATATCCAATTACTCTTTATATGGAATCAATTTAATTTATTTCTCATTCCAAATTATTATACTTGATGGGTTGAGCAAAAAGGGATTTGTTTTTAAAATCTGTATTGATCTCATTTTGTGGCTTTTGGTGTATATATTTTGTTAGATGGATCCCAGGTGCCTATTTTCTATGCTGATCCCAAGGGATGTATTGCAGATTAGCTATTTCCAGCTAGAGCTAGTAGATAGTATAGTGACCCACAGGCTGTACTTTTCCTAGGGAATTTCTAACGGTGACTGGAGATTAGATGGAGCCTCCATTTTGAGCTGCTAACATGACCTGACTGGCTGAGTCCCTTTGGCTAGCTAGCTTTTGTGGCAAGGTGCTTTGACTGCTGCATTTTGAATGACCAAAGAGGAACCACAGAAGGATCCCAACAGGGAGCAAGCTCCATACTTACCACACAAGGCTCCTTCATCCTCTTCCGCAGGACAGTCACTGTGAAAATCACAGACTTGCAGATGGCTTATGCAGTCCCCATGTGGGCAAGGGAAAGCAGGGCTCTTGTCATCCCTGGAAACACCTTGGCTTCCATTGTCTAAAGGGTTTACCAGAAAGAAAGCCCAGAGAGAGTTGTCAGCATAATGCCCAGGGCTAGGCTTTGGTTCAGCTGGTTCCTCAATCCCTCATGTGCCCCTGTCCCCTTCCTACCTTATAAAGGCAACATATGCCCCATCCCTATTAAAATATACATTTAATTTTTACATTTGTGCCAGAAAGTCTTCAAACATGTAATAACACAGAATAGGAAAAAAAGTAACATGGTCCAGTGAACGATCACAAGAACAGCCTACAAAATGAAGCAAATCCTCCCCACTCTTGCAATAATAAACAACCATCTTGAAGCCCATCCAAACTAAACATTAAAATAAAAGTGCAATGTTCCAAAGGTGCGGAGCCTAGCTAGAGATGGCTCTACCCGCTACTCTGTCAAGGCTATACCATGGGACTGTCAGCAGCTTCAATCAAACTGATAACAGATGTTGCTAAATCCAGTCCCCAAGGTAGATTCTACATCTTTTAAGAAGTGTGTGACCTAGAAGTGCATTCTTTGGATTTGGATAACAGGGGATCTCTGCAGCTGCTAGTTCACCATTAGCAAATCCCTTGAAGTTGCCTTCCACTGAATACTTGTTTTTTTAATGTAATGCTTTGCACATGGAAAATATTTGAAATCTCTAGTACTGTCATGAAAATTGTGCCCAAAACTTAGGGGTTGCATAGGGGCAAAAAGCACATAAATCAAATGAAATCTCTATGAGGATCAAAAACTCTTTTCACCTCTTTTTTTAAGATAACAAAACCCACATTTCCATGGATACTTTTAAATTCAAGGCATCCTCGGCAGTGCTTCTTCCCAGCACCGCTAGGCATCATGCTAGTCCCTGAGAACAAGAAAGGGAAGCTGACAATGAGACTGATTGGGTGAAAGGCTTTGCACAAACAGGCCCTGCCTCTGCGAGGAACATGACTGAAGTCGGTGCAGCTCCACACACGTGCAGGGCTTGCTTTGTCCACATACCCAGCACTCTGCAGCTTCACAGTCTATAAAGCAAATGTGAAACTCATGAGTCTAGTTTCCTTCTCCCAGCACAGTGAAGTAGAGGAACAGAGAACAGGCCTGAAGGCCCCTTTCATCACATCTGGCGCTGCAATATACTAAATAAAAAGCAGCACAGTGATAAAAAGGAAAACAAATTTCTGTTTGTTTCATTGATCTATAACAGAAATTCTCAATATGGTGGTCCCATTCTCTCTTTCTTTGAGGCTGTGTGATGGAGGGCCCAGAAATGTATTTCTGTTGGAATATGGGGTTTATGGTAAGGAAAAGATTGAGAACTGTCTTTTGACTTGTTAAATAAAGAAAATATTAAACTTCTGAAAACAGCTTGGCCCAAATATTTGAAATGATGTTAGCAAGTGCTTCTGTCCCTGCTACATTCTTTGTTGCTAGTTTGTTTGCCCAACAATGAGGCAAGGCAGATCCCTTTTGACAAGTTGAGAGGGATGGAAGCATGACTGCTTCAATATGGACATAATTTCTAAGGCTTTGACCTTTGGTCCTCCATTTAAAGCGAGTGATTTTTTAACTGAGTAGGTTGAGAGCTGTTTTTGTCTGTGAAGCACCCCTGCAAGTGTGATTATTGATAGATAAGCATTGCCAAAAACTCAGGACTTCTTTTGCTGTTTCATTCTCCTGCCATCTGGACTTCTTCCAGAACCCACTCAGCAAGTTTCATCAGCAGCTCTCCTTTTCTGACTACATTCGCTGCAACTTTCCAAAGCTGGTGAGGTATGTTGGAACCTACCATAGAAGCAGTTCCTGAGCTGCAAAGAGCGCAATGCCAACAGCCCAGCCTCTTGTGCTCCACAATTTGAATACAGCAGGAAAATCTCAAAAGGTCTCTTCACTTGGCCAATCTCAGCCATCAAAACTTTCCACTTCACCCTATGGGAAGACAACAAACAGCTATCATGTAAGTTTGGAACATGTGGGAGCCCGAGGCATGTGCAGCTCAAAGTTTTCCATTACACCAAGGGAAAAAATATCTATCAAGAGCAAAAAGAGGGATGAACAAGAACTCCAACAGAATGAATAACAGTTTGCAGCAACAGCATTATAGACTCAGCGTTCAAGATTTGAAAGTTCACCTTTCAAATCTCTGTCTTGATGACAGTGATGATGATGATGATGATGATGATGATGATGTAAGGGTGTCCCATCCACTTGCAAGGACTCCTTAAATAGGATCTGAGCCTGTATTTTCAGCCAGTCTATTTTGGACATCTCCCAAATTTGCTTACCACATATTTGATTATGCAATGTCTGTATTTGCAAACACAAATCAGATGATCAGCTGAGCAATCTCTGAATCTGTGTGAGCAAGGGCTGATTCTGAAGATGCTCAAAGTGGAGATGACCAGCCAAACATTTGATCCTAAATGCTTCTCACTTGTGTTTCTAACACTGAACATCCTTTTCTGTGCACTCTGTCTTCCTAGTATTTGGCAATTATAAGAAGTCCACTGCTACACTGGAATGCAAGTGCAGAAGACAGAAAACTGTGGATGACAAAGAATATTATTTTCTCTCTTCTCCAACCTCCCCACAAATACAACATACCACATAGATAAAAGTCCCTACACTATAATCTTAGGAACACTTGTGCAAACTTACAGAAAGACTGATACAAGAGGCATCGATTTTTTTAGGAGTAATATCTTTTATTGGACCAACTCCATGGTTGGGATAGACTAAACCATTTTACATCAGGTTCCTGCTTTGCATTCAAAATTGTGTCTAAGCCTATCTCAACCATGCAGTTGGTCCAATAAAAGATATCAACCCCCAAAATCCTTGCCTCCCACATAATTTCTGGAACATCATGGCTACAACCTCACTCCAACACTACCACAAAAACTGATTGTCACATGGGCCTGATTTTTAAAGGTTTTTAGGCACCTAAAGTAGAGACAGATGTCCAGTGAGATAAGTGCCCAAATCCTAACTTATTCAGTGAGAGCTGAAAACCCCACAAGACAGGTTTTTTCATCTTTAGGCACCTAAATATCTTTAAAAATCTGGCCCATGATACAACTTTCCTCCTGTTGTTAAACAGCATTAAAAGGCAGCTAAAATGCATGAGACTTCCCCAGTGTTACTTTTCATCAAATAACTATCTGTGGTTGCCATGGAGATGTTACACCATTACTAATGGTCCATCTGTCTGATCATGAGTGGATGGGGAGAGGGTCCCCACAACAGTGAATGGCAGACATCTCTTAATATGTGCTGCACACAATGAAAACTCAAGGGCTTGGGCCACAGACATGAAAAAACACTGCAAGTTTCCTGTTTCTAGGCTGATGATCTTCCTCATTTATGTCAGACTATGTTAATGGAATATCTACCTAATTAATTAATTAATTGGTTAATGAGTCTCTGACCAAACATTCTCTGGTAAAACAATGCTGCTTATTTTTCTCCATCTTTTCTTCTTATAACCTCCCTCCTCCCCTTCTGAGATTTATCTGCCTCTTACTTAAACCAGTGCAGTCTTCTGGCCCTATTTGCTTCCCCTATCTCTGTTTCCCCTAAGTATGTCTCTAGCATTTCATCCCAAATCAGAGGGTTTTTTTGATACTGTAGGGTCACTTTATTCAGTTTCAGAAATATCCAGCACCAAAACACAATTGCATTACCACTGCTATACGGTAGGGTAACCAGGGACCTCCAGCAATGAGACATGATTACTTAGCTTTCCTTTTATATTACACAATAGCCTCCAGGACTCTGCAGTACTGAGATAGCTATAAATGCATTATCTGTGTCATATCACAGCACAACCTCCAAGACCATTCAGCACTGAAACATAACTGAATGACTTCCCCTATATTGTACAGTATACTATGCCCACTCTGTGTATTAGATCCCCCTGCTGAGAGACCCTGCACTGTTACCTCCACTGAACTGTAACGTGCCTCCTATGTCCCATAGCTCTGAGGCAGACAAGGTTCTTTGGGTGAATCTGATCTTTTATTAAACCAACTTAAATGGTTGGGGAAAAAATTTTTTTAGCAAGCTTTCAGGTTTGAAAACCTTTTGTCAGGCTGAGGAAGCCTCTGCAGTTGGTGTGTGCTCTTCCTGGATGGAATGAATAGTAAAGAAGCCACAGGCTGGTCTGCATGCAAGGCAGGCAGTCAGTGAAGATGTAAATTGGGGAGTCAGTGGATGAGAGACAGGCTGGCGGGGGGGTGATGGGGGAGAAAAGGGGAATTAATGTAGCAGTTAAATAGTGGAGAGGTACCTGGGGAGTCAGATATCAGGCAGGTTACAATGTGTCATAAATCCAAAGTCTATATTTAGTCCACGATTTTTTGTATCTAGGAGGTTGATGAAGTGAAGTTCATAGGCTTGTCTCTGAGAAGTGTTTTGTAAATTCCCTTTGAGGATTAGAACTGAGAGATTGGAGAGTGAGTGGTTTTCTTGTGAGAAATGTGTCCCCACAGGTAACTGAGTATTCTTGTCTTTGATAGATTTCCGATGTACATTCATTCTGGTGTGCAGTTGTTGTTTGGTCTCTCCTACATATTTTCCATCAGGGCATTTGGTGCACGGGATGAGATATATTACATTTCTGGAGGTGCAGCTGTAAGGTGCAGGGATGCAACATCTCCACCACATTTCTTGACATGGCATGGTCTGGATCCATTTGGTGTGTTCTGGGCCTTAGGAAGTTTGTTTCTGGGGGTGAGGTTAGTGAGGTTCGGTACATGTTTGAAGGCTAACTAGAAATTAGAAATGCAAAACCTGCCAACACATTTCCACCACCCCAACAATTACTCCACCCCACAACAGAGCCATCAGCATCCCTGCATCTTACAGCTGCACCTCCAGAAATGTAATATATCTCATCCAATGCACCAAATGCCCTGATGGAATATACACAGGAGAGACCAAACAACAACTGCGCACCAGAATGAATGCACACTGGAAATCGATCAAAGACAAGAATAACCAATTACCTGTGGGGACACATTTCTCACAAGAAAACCACTCTCTCTCCAATCTCTGTTCTAATCCTCAAAGGGAATTTACAAAACACTTCTCAGAAACAAGCCTATGAACTTCACTTCATCAAA